TATATCAAATTCAACAACAGCTCTATTCTCTTGCTCAAGGATCTGATGGTTTTCCATCTTACTTCACCAAATTGAGTAAGATTTGGGATGAATTAAGAGCGATTCAAAATATTCCTGCATGTTCTTGTGCTTCTTCTGTTGCCATTAATAAATTTCTGGAAGATCAAAAACTGATTCAGATGCTGATGGGACTTAACGATTCTTACAAAGTTCTGCGTGGTCAAATACTCATGATGAAGCCATCACCTACAATTTCTACCATCTATTCCATGATTCTTCAGGAAGAAAGGCAAAGAGGTATCACTATTTCTCCTACACTCAATCCTGATGCTATTGCTATGCATGTCTCTAGTGATAATATCTCAAATACTTCAAAGTAGTTCTTAGTCTGTACTCACTGCAAGAAGAATGGTCACACCAAGTCACAATGTTATCGATTGAATGGTTTTCCTGCTCACTTCAAATTCACAAAGTCTAAACGAGATGATAGCAAATCTACTGTTCAGAATGTTACAACTATGACCGCACCTACCATTTCCTCTGAACAATATGAACAATTGTTGCAACTTCTTAATGCTAACAATATCTCTCATTCTCAAGTTCCAAATCGAGTGAATTCTTCTATTACAGAAGGAGCCATGGCTGATGAAGGTAACTGTTTTTCCTTCTCAAAGTTTGCATCTAATGTCTATAGATCCAAAGCTCTTCTACATTCTCATTATTCTTGGATTATAGACGCAGGTGCCACTGACCATATTTGTTCTAATAGCTCACTTTTTCTCTTCATGAACAAAATTCCACAGCCAATTTTGATTGGTCTTCCTAATGGACACACTACTTCTGTTTCATACATTGGTGATGTTCAAATACACAACAACATAATTCTTCATGGAGTTTTCTATATGCCATCTTTCAAGTATAACTTAGTTTCTATCACTAAGTTCACCACTCAACTTCAAACTTTTGTTATCTTTACTGATACAAAATGTTTATGCAGGACCCTTTGTCAAAGAATAGCATTTCTCTTGGCATTTTGGGGGACAGAGTTAATGATCTTTATGTCTTTGATCATCGCTCCATTAAATCTTCTCTTTCTTTTAGTTTTTCAGTTTGTACACTGTTTCCTATGTTGAATAATTCTGTAAAACATTCAGATTCAAATGTTTTACTTTGGCATAAACGTTTTGGCCATATTCCTGTACACAAACCTCATAAACTTTCAGTGATTTCCAATAATGCCCCTCATGATCTTGATTCTTGTTTTGTTTGTGCTAAAGCCAAACAACATCGATTATCTTTTCCCAAAAGTATTTCTACTACAGATAATCCTTTTGATTTAGTGCACATTGATGTATGGGGCCCTTACAAGCATTGTACTTATGATGGTTATCGCTATTTTCTTACAATAGTTGATGATCATAGCCGTTTTACATGGGTACATCTTTTAAAACAAAAGAGTTATGCCTTCACTCTCATTAAGGCTTTTATTGCTCTTGTTCAAACTCAATTTTCAAAGAGAATAAAAGTAATCAGAACAGATAATGCATATGAGCTTGGTACAAGTTCTGAAGCTCAAACTTATTTTCAACAAAATGGAATCATGCATCAAACATCTACAGCCTATACACCACAACAGAATGGGTTAGTTGAACGAAAGCACAAACACATACTTGAAATTTCTCATGCCTTATTTTTTCAATCTGGTATTCGTATCACATATTGGGGAGAATATGTTAAAGCAAGTGTTCATCTCATGAATAGAATGCCAACCAAGGTTCTCAATCATAAATCTCCTTTTGAGGTTTTACACAAACATACTCCAGATCTGACATATCTCAAAACATTTGGTTGTTTATGTTTTGTTGCTACACCATCTATTGGAAGGGACAAGTTCATGTCTAGATCCACATCATGCATATTCATCGGATATCCCTATGGCAAGAAGGCTTACAAAGTTTTGGACTTGACAACCAAAACTATTCAAATATCCAGAGATGTTATTTTTTTTTAAGATATTTTCCCTCTACATCAAGCAAACGATCAATTTTCAGATTGCTCTTCTTCTTTTCTTCCCATTAATTCCCAAGATACAGAGACATTCATTTCACAACCCTCAAATACCTTCCCCAATGATCAACCCAATTTTGACCCACCTATACCCCCATCAGTTCCTTTAAGAAGAACCACAAGACAACATCAACCACCATCCTATTTACATGATTATATATGTAATCATGTTAATTCTGTTCATTCTCATCAGCTTTGTCAGCATACCATTACAAAATTTTATTATCAGTGATTCTTTTTCCCCAACCATTTTTTCTAGTCCTTCTCATCATGTTTTCAATGCTATTACTCAAGTTGTTGAACCTGCTTTTTACACTCAAGCCAAAGGAATACCTGAATGGGAAACAGCTATGGCTAATGAACTACAAGCATTGCAAGATAATCATACTTGGGAAATAGTTAAGTTACCAAAAGGCAAGAAACCAATTTCGTGTAGATGGGTTTATAAGGTCAAATACAAAGCAGATGGGAGTATTGAACGATATAAAGCACATTTAGTTGCCAAAGGTTTCACACAAAAAGAAGGTGTTGATTTTCATGAGACCTTCTCTCCGGTTGTCAAATTTCATACCATAAGATGTCTTGTTGCTTTGGCTCTCAAAAGAGGATGGGATATACATTAATTTGATGTGAATAACGCTTTCTTACATGGAGAGCTACATGAAGATGTCTACATGAAACTTCCATCGGGCTATTCTGTCTCATCTCCTTCCTTAGTTTGCAAACTTAAAAAATCCTTATATGGGTTAAAGCAAGCTTCTAGACAGTGGTATGCAAAATTATCTCATGCTCTTCAATCCAAAGGTTTTACACATTCACAGAATGATCATTCTTTATTCTTGAAGAAAACTACAAATTCAATTGTAATTGTAGCTGTGTATGTTGATGACATTTTGGTCACAGGCAATAACCTTGATGAAATCACATCTCTGAAAACATATCTTGATTCAACATTCAAGATTAAAGATTTGGGCTTTCTCCATTATTTTTTGGGTTTGGAATTTGATAAAACAGAAGATGGTATGGTCATTCATTAACATAAATTTATCAAGGAATTGCTTGAAATGTATTCAATGAATAATTCCAAACCAGTTTCTATGCCATTGCCTACCAAGATTACATTGCTTCCTACAATGTCTGATCCTCTATCAGATCCGACATTATATCGACAATTGATTGGAAAATTTAATTTTTTACTTCACACAAGGCCAGATTTGTCTTTTTCAGTTCAGCATCTAAGTCAATTCAACCAGAGTCCTTGTCAAGCTCATTATGATGCTGCACTTCATGTTCTTCAATATCTTCAAGGCACAACTACAAAGGGTTTATTCTTCAATAAAAAAGACTCCTTTAACGTTGAAGCTTACTGTGATTCAGACTTGGCAGCGTGTCCAATTACACGAAGATCTGTGAGTGGATTTTTCATTTTATTTGGAGACAATCCCATTTCTTGGAAATCCAAGAAACAAACACCAATTTCTTTATCATCAGCAGAGGCAGAGTACAGATCAATGCGCAGAGTATGTGCTGAGCTTGCTTGGCTAAGTCGACTTTTAATTGAACTAGAAGTTCCCAATGTCACTCCTATTCCACTCAAGTGTGATAATATGGCAGCAATATATATAGCAAACAACCCTGTTTTCCATGAACTCACTAAACATATTGAAATCCACTGTCATTTTGTTCGAGAGAAGCTTCAAAGTGGTTTGATTACATTAACTCATGTTCAAACGGGAAATCAACGTGCGGATGTCTTTACAAAGTCCTTACAAGGCATTGATCATCAACAAGCAGTTCGCAATCTGGGGTTATTGTCATACCCACCAAATTGAGGGGGCGTGTTAGCTTCTCAATTCTGTTACATGATCGTTAATAGTTAGTTTAGCCTAAAGGGTATTTTCGTCTTTTCTCTGTACAGTTAGTTGTGTTAGTTAGTCGATTAGTGTGTGTATATATTCATTCAACTCTCATTATTGAAGATTAATTAATTAAGAATACTTGAAAATCATCTTTGATTCTCTCTATTGCAACATACGTAGCTGGATATTAAGTAAAATCGACTTTGTAGACAATTTCGTAGCCGGATAGCTACGAAATCATATTACATAGCCAATTTCGTAGTTATTCGTAATTTAGGTACCGAGTTTTATTATGTAGCAATGCATGTAGTAAATTACGGATGCATATTTAATTCGAAGCATTTTTTCATATATATTTGTCAGATTCTGCATCTATTAAATGTTTATTAAATTCCACTACCTTTTTACATATTAACATTAGAAACCGAATTTACCAATATGATCTCATATTTAACCCACTTGAAGGATTTAACACCAACTTCTTCGCCACTTATAGGAAGCATCAAATCTGCATGCAGCATGCAGGTATGCAGTAATTTATTTAAATTAATTGTCAACACCACACAGAGAGAGAGAAGAGAGAGAGAGAGGAGAGAGATGAGAGAAGGAGAGAGAGGAGAGAGAGAGAGAGAGAGAGGAGATCGAGGAGAGGAGGAGAGCGGGAGAGGAGGAGAGACAGGGACGAGAGAGAGAGAGGGGGAGAGGGAGGAGAGGAGAGAGAGAGAGAGGATGAGGGAGAGCGAGAGAGAGAGAGAGGAGGAGAGAGAGAGAGAGCGAGAGGAGAGAGGAGAGAGAGAGAGAGAGAAGAGAGAGAGAGAGAGAGAGAGAGCGAGAGCGGAGAGAGAGAGGAGAGAGAGAGAGAGAGGAGGAGAGAGAGAGAGAGAGAGAGAGAGAGAGAGAGAGAGAGTTTACGCATGAATGTACAACCAAGAAATAACATATATTTTTTAAAATGCATCAAAACATCTTAATATGGTTTTAGTTCTCCTTTTATGAAGGAATTCCTACTTATTAAGAGCATACATATATTTAAGAGTCGCTTATACATTTTATTTCCCGTTACAAACTTTCACTTCAAGATTTTTCTTGCACCGATTTCAATGGTGGCGGGCATGGCACTGACGGCGGTGGGGGTGGTGGGCATGGTATTGGAGGTGGTGGTGGTGGTGGGCATGGCTTTACAACTGGTGATGGAGGAGGATGCACTATTGGTGGATGAGGTGGTCTTTTAGCAGTTGGTGGTGGAAAAATTACTGGAGTAGGTGGTGGTTTTGTGACACGTGGTGGTGGTGGTGGTGGCGGCGGCGGCGGTGGTGACGCATAATGTGGATAAATTGGTGGCAAAATTACCGGTGGCATAGGATGACTAGGTGGATATATTTTTGGTGGTATTTCTACCGGTGGAAACAAAAGAGGTGGTTTTGGCCAAAAAGGTGGATGTACAAATGGTGGTTTTACTATTGGCGGATGTACAAATGGCGGACGTACCAATGGTGGGTTGTCAATGGGTGGATGTATAAATGGTGGTTTGACGATGGGTGGATGTACGAATGGTGGCTTTGGGAAATAAGGTGGTTTAACAATGGGTGGATGACCGAATGGTGGCTTTGGGAAATAAGGTGGTTTAACCACGGGTGGATGTACGGATGGTGGCTTTGGGAAATAAGGTGGTTTAACCACGGGTGGATGTAAGAATGGTGGCTTTGGGAAATAAGGTGGTTTAACGACGGGTGGGTGTACGGATGGTGGCTTTGGGAAATAAGGTGGTTTAACGATGGGTGGATGTACGGAGGGTGGCTTAGTTGTTGGTGGAGTCGGACTAGGTGTGGTGGTTGGTGGTTTAACGGTGGGTGGATGTATAAATGGTGGTTTAGGGGAATAAGGTGGTTTGATAGTTGGAGGAGCAGGACTGGTGGTTGGTGGTTTTGGAAAGGAGGGTGGAGATGATTGTGGCGGTGGTTTATACACTGGTGGGGTGAATTTTGGAGGTGATGGTTGTGGTTTGACCATAATTGGTGGGAGATATGGTGGTTTAGTAGGTGGAGATGGTGGTTCACATGTTGGACAAGCGATAGATAGAGTCTCCAAGTTCAAAAGGAGCATAACCAAAAAACCCCATTGAAGCTTTCTCATTTTGGGCAAGAATGTCGAGGTGATGATTGAATAAAGGACTCCTAACCTTTGTATAAATATGCAATGCATGGTTGATTGGGTTTCTCAATAATTCTACATTAATTACCATACTACCCTTAGCTAAATTGTAAATTTAGCAAATAATATAGAAAAATAATTTATTTATGACCATACACTATTTTCAGTCTTCAAGTCTGAAACCTAACATCAATTCGAAATAAAATAATTCAAGATATAGAAAAAAAAATCGTTATCCAAATTGGAATATTATTCTTAGTTTAATATTTTTTATTTTTATTTTTATTTTTTATTTTTTTGTCAAATGGAACCCACATCACGACTACGAAAACTTTATGATACTCTATTTGATCTACACGAGTTATGTTAGATTGGTAAGTAAAAATGATTACGATTATTTGATCTTATTTTATTTTAATAAAAAAGTTATCTTAAACATTTAAGATTTTATACGTTGGATAATTAAATTAGGATATAAATCAAACTAGGCGAATGTCCGTGCAATGCACAAAAATCTAATAAATTATTTTGTTGTCATGAATTATAAAATAATAATTTTCGTATTATATAGATAAAAACTATTTTAAATATTTGAGTAAATTACACGATTCGTCCCTGGTCCGAATGTCAAATTACGCGTTTAGTCTCTATTTTCAAAAATTAACTCGGACCGTCCCTTATATTATTAAAAGTTGCACGATTTGTCCCTACCAGACATAAAATGACTATAATACCCTTGTCTATTTCTTTTTCCGTTATTTTTAATTTGTTTATAATTTATCAATTAATTTTTTATAAATAGGCACTAAACGTGCAATTTGACACTCGAATCAGGGACGAATCATGTAATTTACTCTAAATATTTTAATTATATGATAATATAAAAATATATTAAAACTATATCATCTTAATCGTTTTTATATGTGGATTATACATGAAAATAATTAAACTATTTTTTTTATTTATCATTATTTTTTAACTATTATTAAAATTAATTAGTTGAGATAGATATTTTATATTTTCATCATCGTGTGTGTGTGTGTGTATATATATATATATATATATATATATATATATATATATATATATATATATATATATATATATATATATATATATATATATATATATATATATAGGGGATGGTTCCCTTGAGATTAATAAAAAATTAGAGATTGTGAGATTAAATATCAGCCAATGGAACTTAACGTCAACTAACGTCAACTGTTAAATGATTAAGGGGTATAACAGTAAACTTCAAATTAATGTTTAGAAAACGGACACCTTCTTTCTCAAAAAATCATCATATCGTTAAATCATCGATTTTCAGTATCAGTCACGTAATCATATCATCCAATCTTCAACAAATCATTCAATATAATAAAAAAGATCCTATTTTTACTGAATCTGTTATCAAATTATTCACAATCTTCAAATCGAAAAAAACGATCGAAACAGAGCATCAGTTCATATCCTCATAAATACGAGATACAAACCTCAAATCGAAGAAACAAGCACCTCGCAATCATAAACAAAGCATTTGAAAATCGAATCAAAATCAATTTTCATAAATGATGTCGAATCCAAAAGAAATTGACAAGTCGATCGCAACTGATACTATTATAGTTGAAATCAATTCATCTCGTAACGACGAACAAATCAATTCAATTTCTTTCACTTCTGAAGAACTTCAAAATACGATTCCTATTGAAGGTACAACTAATTCGTTTTAATACTACATATTACATGACGATTTCTACACTTCATTCTGATTCTTTTATTATACAATATAAATTATGAATAATCATATATGATTATACAATACAATATGTGATTTAATCATATAAGGATGAATAATCATATATGACTGTTCATATCTATGATTAATCATATGTATTTATAGTTTGTAATTATGATTTATCATATATGTTTTCAAATTGAAATCTATATTAATATTACATTTGGATGAATAATCATATATGATTATACATCATAAAATAGGATTAATCATATATTACAAACTACAAATACATATGATTAATCATACATGATTAAACAATATCAAGTATGATTATTTATAAATTGATACGTATAATAATTTATGATTACACAATATATTATATGATCAATAATATAATACAATGTCCAAATAAATATGATTTAACATCTAATAATATATTAATATCTAAAATCATATATGATTTTTTATACTAAAATATAAATACATATCGTTAATCACATATGATTATTGCAACATAAAATTATATAATAACATATTTGTCATTCTCTGCTTTTATCAGGTGAAAGTTCCAATTCAACAAATGAATCATATTGCAGTAACATAATTGAAGAATCTGAATATAAACCAGATGTCCCTACAGAATTTGTACTAGTTGTAAAAAATGTTTTCAAATCACTAAATTTGGCAGTAAAAATGTATACGGATTATGCAGAAATGGCAGGCTTTCATACAAGACTGAGTAGCCAATCAAAATACAATAGCCAAAAAATAAAAGAAAAATATGTTATATGAAATAGGGGTGGCAAGGATAAACCAAAACCTTGTGATACGTTGGCTACAAGTTCTGTTAAGAGGAAACCAAATTCAAACAAGATAATTACTGGGTATACAGCAAAGATTATATTTGAAAATGTTTATGGAACAACAGATTACAAAGTTAAGAAATTCTTTGAAATGCGCAACCACCCACTGGAAAGTATTGAGGAAAGACCTTATACGAAAAAGGCAAGAAAGATGTCATATTCTGAAAAAGAGTTTGTAGTACGTGCATCAAAAGCTAAAATTGGTCCCACAACGGCTCACAAAATACGAGCAGTTTTGAAAGGAGGATATGAATATGTAGGGGCGAAGGTAACATACTACAAAAACTTGAGGAGAGGAGTAAATAGAATCTTATGTTACAAGGATGCTCAAATAATGATAAACAAAATGAATGATCGTAGATATCATTACCCAAATTATTCATTTGAGTTCCTACGTGATGGAGATCTGTTGGCTGCTATGTTTTGGGCAAATGAAAGAGAAAAGGATTTTTATGCAGAGTTTGGAGAAGTTATATCTTTTGATGCAAATTTTAGAACAAACAAGTAAGTTAATTTATATAAATTCAAACATACTATTAATCAAATATGATTGTACTAAACACATTTTCTTTATATAGGTATAAAATGGTATTTGTTCCATTCACAACAATTGACCACCACAAGAAATCAGTTACTGTTGGTGCTGGGTTGCTGAGTAGAGAGACAATTGAGTCGTATGAATGGCTGCTTAAAGCTTTTCTTTGAGCTCATGAAGGGAAAGCACCAAAAATTGTTCTAACTGATCAAGATGCAGCAATAAAACAAGCAGTGGAATCTGTCTTACCAAATTCAAGACACAGACTATGCATGTGGCACATAATGAAAAAAGTGCAAGCAAAGGTATAATAAAAATACATTATGTAATCATATATGATTATATAGTATTATGACAGATGATTCATATATGAGTTATCAGATATCATACTATATAACCATATATGATTAATCATATATGATTAACTATTCTAATAATATGAATTATCAGATACCATACTGTATAAACATATATGATTACATAGTATGTAATATGATAATACAGTATATAATCATATGTGATTATATAATTATATTATTAAAATACTTAATCATATATGATTAATCATATATGATTGATATAATGATATATAGTTAAGTATTTTAATAATATGATTATATAATCATATATGATTACATATGATTAATCATATATGATTATAATAATATAAGTTCTCATATATCATACTATGATTATGATGATACAGTATATAATCATATATAATCATATATGATTATATAATACGATTATATAATCATATATGATTAATCATATATGATTAATCATACATATATAATATATGATTAATCATACATATATGATATATGATTAATCATATATGATTATATAATAATATATGATTATATAATCATATATGATTAATCATATATAATCATATATGATTAATCATATATGATTACAGTACATATATGATATATGATTAATCATACATGATATATCCATTACAGTAATCATATATGATTACTCATATATGATATATGATTAATCATATATGATTATATAATCATATATGATTAAACATATATGATTACAATACATATATGATATATGATTAATCATAGATGATATATCCTACATTACAGTAATCATATATGATTAATCATATATGATATATCGAAATAGGTATATAATTTATACTTATATAAGCAAAAAATTTCATTCATAGGTTACTGGAGATTTATTTAAAAACAAAGACTTCAAGAAAAGATTTAACAAGCTTGTTTGGAACATGCATATCAAACCTGATGAATTTGAAAAGAAGTGGGATTTGATTATTAATGAATTCAATCTGGAAGATAAAAGATGGTTCAATGATATGTTTGAATTACGTGACAAATGGATACCTGCATACTTCAGTGACACAAGAATGTTTGGATTGATGAAAACCACTTCAAGATCAGAAAGCATGAATTCCTTCTTCAACACTTACTCTCAATCTGGAAATTTACTTTTACATTTCATGATGAACTATGGCACAACAATTCAAAAACAAAGAAATACACAACAAGAGCTTGATCATCAAACAAAGAAGGCGGTATATAAATTTATTTCACCACGACCAATAGAAAAACATGCTGCAAAAGTTTATACAAGTACATTGTTTTATGAAGTACAGAAAGAAATCTATAAAGGTTCCTGGTATTGCCAATACGAACATCTTGGAACAAAAAATGGATGGGAGTTATACAAAGTGGAACAACTGAACAAAAAAAGTGATCTAAAAACAGAATTTGAGGTAATATATTCTTATTTTAAATTTTGTTGAATCAACACATAATATAAAAAAATATTCAGTTATGATTATAAAACACTTAATGCTTTAATTTTATTTTGAACAGGTAGAAATAAAACTTCCAACAAATGATGTAAAATGTACATGTGAACACTTTTAACCGCTTTGGGACTTTGTGCAGACATGCATTCAACATACTCATGAAACATGGAATTAAGGAGATACCTGAACAGTACATTAAGAATCGTTGGAGAAAGGATGTGATATCAAGGCATTATAATTTTGGTAGACATGTGTATGATACAGAAGACAGTGAAATTAACAGATTTGTCAATCAAGCATACTACAACTTTGAAGCACGTTTGGAATACGTAAGAAAAAATAAAGAAAAAATGGATTTGTTTGTTAAGAAAACAGAAAGCATGCTGCAAGAATATGAAAACGATCCTACAAATGAATTGCAGAAGAATAGGACAGATGTTGAAGAGGTAGGAAAGCTTATGGGCATAACTATTCCAAAAGATATTGACATCAATGTTCCAAATGTTCAAAGCAATAAAGGATGCGGAAAGAAAAGTAGAATTCAAAGTGCAGCAGAAATAGAGTATAAAAATTCAAACAAGCAAACAAGAAGATGCTCAGGATGTGGAGAAAGGGCTCCTCATAACTTGTGGACATGCCCAATCAAACTTGCAGTAGAACAATCATCAAAAGCTACATAGATATTTACTGCTTTAATCAGTAATGAATAAGTCATGAATTTGTTTTTCAAAATAATATACTTTTTGTTTAGTACACTTTACTCTTTTTATAAAATAGAATTTACTATGATTTTGTCTACTGGATTTAATCTACTTTGATAATTCTTTCTTTGATTTGATAATATATTCATTCATGATTAAACTTCTATTAAATGTTACTACAAGCATTTAAGATTACATATAAACTGTTATTCAATACGTGTAATCATTACACATAACCATATACAATATTCATCTGTATAATCATAAAATTATGTAATATTACTTCATATGTTTTGTTTAATCATAAGTGATTAAAAATATGATTACACATAAAAAACATCTAACCATTACATATAACCATATACAACAACATTGTTCCTAACAAATATACAACACTGCTCATAAAAAATCTAAAGATAACAATATTCATCATCATAGAATAACATCAAACATGATAAAATCTTCAATAACAAACAATTTCACAAGTCTCAAATATCACGTTCCCCATTTTCCAAGATTCTTGTTCTTCATATTCCTAGCTAGATTTTCATACAAATTGTAGCTGACTCCAAGAACTCTTCCACCATTACTTAGAAAGATTATCTCCATTGAACATAACACATCTTTACTACATATCTGATGCAGAGAAATGTTGTTCATTAAAAAGAAATCTTCTTTAAATGAACAACATTCCTCTACTTCAAAGAAATCTAGTAAAGATCTGATATGTTCAATGAAGATAAACTTTTTAAGTAATGGTGGAAGAGGCGTTCTTGGAGTCAGCTACAATCTATATGAAAATCTAGCTACAAATAAAAGAACAAGAATCTTGAAAAAATGGGGAACATGTTATTAGATATAGCAAAATTAGTTCTTTTAGACTTATAGACTCCATATTTTACCTGAAACAAAATGGAAGTTGTTTACATCATAAATAAATAATGGTGATATATAAAAATTGAAGAAATTAATAAACAAAACTAACCATTTGGAAGTATAAGGACTCATCTTTGAAGAAATATAAGGGGTAGCACGAGGCTACCCCATTTATACAAACATAATTACTTATCAAAAATACAATATATGGCTGTACCAATCAGTTTTCATTTATAAAGAAAAGATTCTTCAATACAAACACTAAAAAACAAAACTAAAATCTTACAAAGATAAGATTCTGCATGGTGATGTATTCCATGTAGTAAAGATAAGCTCAATTATCAAGAAAAATATATAATAAATAATAATGTGTTGTACAACAAATATAATCATTTATGATTACAAAAACAGAAAAAAATAATCGATACAATCACTAATGATTACATATAAGCAACATATAATCAATACTAAAAACATAAATTAGATATAAAAATATAACATAATCACTTATGATTAACATTCAATAACTTAATTCACACGAACAAACTTAGATAATAAAATCCACCAAAACACATATTAAGTTGTTTTCCATCACCATGTTTTCCATCATCATAAAAACAAACATTCTTCACAATATCCATAACATACACAACATAAACAACCTTGTTCTTATAACATCATCAATAAGAAAATATTCAATAAAAAAAAATTTGACAGCCTTGTTTCTACATTCCATTGAGCATCATATGCATGCTTACCACGAAATTTTGGATCAACTTTTTGATACTCATATGCAGCTTTCAACACGTCATCATGCTTTTTATTAATCTCAGAAGTTAAAATTGTTGCTGTATATTTCATTCTCAACTTCTCCAGAATTTTTTCTTGAGAAGGACCTTCTTTTGGAAGACCACATTTCCATTTAGAACATTTTTCTCCAAAATAAATCTACATATGTCTCATAGCAAAAACTCCACAATCCACTTTGTTATAAACTGTCCTCCATGGCATTGTCAATCTTACTGGAGTAAGATTTTTATCAGCCATTTTATTTGCTTTAACATGATCGATCTCTTTTAGATACTTTTAAAAAAAACTTTTTCTGAAAATCATATATGATTTCAAGTCAGAAAAATATAAGTATAATAATTATAAAACATATCATATATGATTTCAAATCTAAAGAATAAATATCATTTGAAACTTACAAGAGGTTTAAAAACTGCACCATACTTATCATCGAAATCAGCATCATCTGCACCATTATCAATAACCTCAAACACGTTCTTCATTCTCAATTCATAACAATAAGATATATGTGCTCATGCCTCAAAACCGGGGAAAATATACCTAACATCAACATGTATAATATTAGAAATAAAATTTAATATATAGATATATATAGATATATATATATATATATAATATATATATATATATATAAATGTATAAAAAATTAAATATACCATATCAACATCCTTCAAAACCTTCAAGTCTCTATCACCAGAAACACTGCGAGAAAAGCTCTCCTTGAAAACTTTATATTTTGTAGTTTCATTCAAATGAGTATATTCAAATGACAAAGTCTGTAATATAAGAAAATCATAAATGATTATATACTAACATGTAAATATTTAATAGAAAAAATTATTAATGATTATCAACATATGAAAAGCAAAGAATAAAATAAAAACTTACAGTGTCAGAATTCATGAACAATCTGAGTGGAGAATTAACAACATCTCTGAATTTCTCTTGATGATTTAGTATACGAGACCATGAGTCAAGAACACTAACATGAAAATGGGTTTTTTTATAAAGACTTTCATAATTAGCTCTAAACCCAATAACATCTGTTTCCATAAGCAATACAATATCCCTGTATATATTTATTTAAATGTTATTTAAAATAAAAAAATATAATTATAAACATAAAAAATTATATTAAAAAAAATTACCCTGGATTTACATGAAGATTGAAAAGCCATTCACAAACAACATTTTCTACTTGTGTCAAACTAGGTTTAAAATCAATCAATCTTTCCTTAACTGGTGACTTATAAGCATAAGAAAACTTCATTTGTCTCTTTCCTTTGACATCCACTACTGTGTTGCTTCTTCATTTATATCTTTATGTTTGCCAGAAACAGGTTTTGATGGTCTTTCTAATGTACCCAAAAGGGGTGCAAAAGAAACTGGACTAGCATCAATAACATCAACATTTGGAATAACACACTCTGGACCAGCACTTGGTTTTCCCAAAATAACTCTATCCTTAATCTTTTTCTTTATCATCCGTTCAGAAGAAATTTGACTTTGAGATGACTTCTTGGAACCTTCATAATCTTGACTAAATCCAAGACTAAAACTTGGAACAAGATCATTTTTCAATGATCGAGTCTCATTTGAATCCTTGTTTTTATTTGAACAATCTTCAACATTTTCTACCCAATAAAATTATAAAAATCATATATGAATAAACAATAATTATAAACACAGTTAATATGAATAAACAATAATTATAAACAAATTACCTCCATATTTATTTTATTTGAACAATCTTCAACATCTTCACCTTCTCCATCCTTCTTTGCTACAATAATTTTATCAACAGTACGATCTGAAATTACTTTATTCTTATGATCATCCTCACCCAAATTTACAGTCCCTAAATTATTAAAATCATAAACGAATCATCTATATAACATATTTATATATATTTTATGTATGAAAAATACATAAATAAATACTTACCATCCTCAATACCAGTCAAATTCAAATTCACATCATCTTCAACTAGTTTCTGATTTAAACAACCATCAGTACCTATAAAATTCAAATATAAAAAATTAAAATCATATATGATTAAACTATATATAAAAATAAAATATGCCTACCTTGATCCAAAGTTTTAAGAAAACTTTCAACAACTGGATCGCAAATAAATTGACTAAAAGATACACCTTCCTGGCTATCAATTAGACCCACACTCTTAGTAACATTTTGGACAACAGAATTTAAATTCATGGCCTCTTCTTATTACATCCACTTCCATTTCCTTGTTCATCATCTTCATCATAATCACCTTTACCTTCAACATGATGTTTACCAATATTGCCCTCATGTGGACCACTTCCATCCCCCTGACCACCAGAACATTTCCCTTGATCATAATCTTCAACATTTTCATCATCATTAAGAAAATCATTCCCATAATCTTCATCATTAACTTGAACAAAACCAGGTTTTAATATCGATTCTTTATATTTTTGTGAAACATAACGGAAATCAAAACTTTTTGTGCTTAAATCTTCAACAAGAAATAATAATTTCCAAATTTTCAAATTTTGACTTTGGGGAAACTTCAACACTCCCTCATCTATCTTTACAACAAGATCCTTTTTCAAATCCTCCATCTTCTGATACATACATGAAATTTTACTTTCATACACCTACATAAGAAAAAAGATACTTACAACTAAAATACTTAAACATAAAAAGTCATAAATGAATAAACCAATTAAATCATACATGAATAAAACTATAGAATTACCTCCACATCACTAACTTTATTAACATCAAAATCTTCTTCATCTTCATCACATAAATCCTCTTCACCATCAGATTCAACATCATCACCACCAGATTCCTCCTCATTATACTCAGATTCTTGAAATTCTTCTTCAACATATGCTTCATTAACATGTCCACATCCAAATCCTCCACTCTCTTGTAAAATATCCTCAAGAAACCTTATCTTCTCTGACGTCCAGTAAAAATAGTTGGACGTTTACGTGTGACTTGCAAATGATCAAACTTGAAAGTATCCACATACAACAACTACAAAAAACATATATAACATCATAACATATATAACATCATATATGATTTTGATGTGTAATATATAATTAAACAAAAATTATACTACATAATCATATATGATTATATGTAATAAAATCATATATGATTTATTATAAAAACAAACATATTTTTACAACTAACAAGAATAGTAAATATCAAAAAATAACTCATGTACCATAAGGTATGCTGCTGGTCCATAAAAGTAAGAAGATTCTTTCTCTGGATTGTAAACCTTCTTCGTCCTTACCAAACAATCCACAATGTAATCGCACCAGTCAATGCTACTTAAATCAGTATCTCTTCTGATTAAATACAATGGATTCAGATTACATTTACCCATTTCTTGTAGACTCACAGAAAGTATTAATAAAAAGAACCAAAAAATTGATTCTGAAGTTGTCATCCGCAGCACTAGTTTTAACAAGTTCATTCTTTAGCTGTTTCAATCTCAATTTATCAATATTTTCATAATGTTTCTTCCACTCAAACATACAACTCTATTCATTATTCTCCGAAATGTAATCCATGTTTGAAAGTAATGAGCCACCAGATGGTAATCCTAACATCTCTTGAACATACTTACTATCAACACTAACTTCACAATTATCAAACTCCACCTTCAAAGATTCAAAATTAAAATGATCAAAAACATAATAAACAATCTTCAACGGTACGTCAATCATCTTCATCCCTAACAAACTCCCAAATCCCATAGCCCTAACACAATCCTTCTGTTCTCTACTTAAACCTTGAATAACACCCAACAATGACCCGGGTGAACATCTATTCTTTAATGAAAGAAATTCTTTTATAACAACAACTTTTTTTATCTTTCTTCAAAACTTTAGTTTCTCTGTTTGGTTTCTTTGAAGATCCAGGACGACTCTGAAAATCTGAATCATCTTCATCAGATAGTTCACGCTTCTTACTTACAGTTTTGACCTTAACCCTCAGCTTCACTTTTGGTTGTTCAATAGCTGTTTTTTTGGATGTCTTTGAACGCGTTTGCGACACCTCATTTGCCTTCTCTCTTTTGGAAGATGACCGTGTCTTCCTTGAGCTATCTACATTCCCTTTTTTAACTACAATTTTCATTACAAACATAGTGTTAGTAAAAAATAAAACATACATTTATCATTACTATTCACTAATGATTATAAACAGACGTATAGAATCATTTATGATTAGAACAATAAATAAAAATACAAACTAAATGTTATATACAATCCAATTAAAAGAACCACAAAATCAGTTATGATTACAAAAATAACTTTATATTCATGTTTGATACATAAAAATACATTTATCATTACTATTTACCAATGATTATAAACAAACTTATAAAATCATCTATGATTAGAAGTAAAAATAAACATATAACTAAATGTTATGTTCAATACACTGAAAAAATAAAAAAATCAGTTATGATTACAACAAATAACTTCAAACATTAAGTTATATGTTTATTTCTACTTCTAATCATAGATGATTTTTTTTGAACTGTACCTTCGGAAATAACAGCACTTCTACCGCATTCGATATTTTTTTTATTTTTGAATTTTTTTCGAACATAGTTTCTTTTGAAATCCTTATCTGTGAAAATATAAACAAAAACGTACATCAAAAACCACCACAAACAAACATAATAAAAAACATATCAACTCTAAACGAGACAATCATCAAAATCAAGTTAAAATGACGAAAAAACTACTAAATCAAAACAAAAAAAACACAATTATCAACATAAAACGACAGTTAACTAATTAATAAAAACATGCATTATCAATAAAATGAAAAATAACTCGCATTCTAACATTTCATTGCGATTAAGGAAGATGCGACTTCGTTTATATTTTGTCCTAAAGATATTTACTGATTTCTCAATAACAAGTAAGAAACGAAAACTAGGGCAAAATGAGATAAAGAAAGAAAAAGAGGTTTTCCTGAGAGTTCGAATTGAGACCTTGATCGAGAAAGAAAAGAAAACAATAGGCGGTTACAGTATCGTAGCCTGCAAAATTCATATCAATCTTTGTAAAATTACAACAATAGCCCCACAATCGTAAATTAACGGCATTAGTTTAATAAGTTACCAACATAATTATAAATATGCCACCGCATAGTTTCAGAAACAAACATAAGCAAATCAAACGGTTATACACATATCTCACAATCTCTATTTTTTTTTATCTCAAGGGAACCAACATCTATATATATATATATATATATATATATATACATCTACTATAATAAATAAAGATAATTTTGCCACATGTCAATCTCTAATGAGTTTTGACACTTGTCATTTTGTGATATTTTTTAAATAAATAATATCCACATGTCAATTTATGGTTTTTTCTCATTTTTAAAATTAAAAAGCCACATAATACTTATATTTATATATGTAAAGTATCAAATGTAATAAATATTATATTAAATTGCAATTAATATGTTTCTTCAATCTTTACTTTAAAATTTTATTTTAAAAAATATTTATTATTTAAATTTTAATATTTTATTTTATTTAATCAACCCGTGTAATACACGGGTTTTTACACCTAGTATATATATATATATATATATATCTATATATATATATATATATATATTCTATATATATATATATATATATATATATATATATATAGGCTTAGGTTATTTTGTTTAAAGTAATTATTGTGTTATTGTATGCATAAATGTGGGCCAATCAAATTTAATTATTTTAAGAAAGTGATTAATATATATTATTGAATTAAATATAATTGAAAAAATCATCTTAATTAATTACAAGGGTAATTTAGTCAATTAATATAGATTTAATAAAGGAAAATTGCATTTTTTAAGGGATCATAGATTCTATTAATTTTTAAAAATCCGATTTTTCGAATTATAATTCTTTTAATTCGTACATTCTGACAGAATATGTTTATGAGTATATTCAAAAATAAAAATATTCTTGAACTATAAATAATAAAAATATTCTTGAACTTATTTCTTGATGATGACTTTAAAAACTCCTTGAAGAATAACAACTTCTTGTAGAATAACAAAATCTTGAACAATCAGTTGAAGAATAAAAACAAAAAATACATTATTTCTTATAGAATACGGGTAACAATTGTTAAGAATTACATTTATTGTTAAAAAATACAACTAAAAAAACAATCAAAACAGGGAAGAAAACATCAAAATCTAACAACGACTAATACATTCTAAAAGAATAATGTGGTCCGTTCTTCAAGCATCAACTTCTGTGATTCCAACAGAATTGGAATTCGTCATTCCATTCCAACAGAATTGGAATTCGTCATTCCATTCCAATAGAATTGGAATCTCACCAATATCATCCATTGAATCATCTGCATAAACATACTTGGAGAAGCCAACATACTTGATACATTTTCAGAATTCAACCTTGTCAAGATCTTGCACTGTCCACATAAATGAAGTGTTAAATCAGGAAAAAAAACATAAAGTATGTTGTCAAGTCTTTACGTTTGTTCTTGTTATACTGTAAGTATGTTTTCAAAAGAGGAATTTAATACAAGTTTTTAAAGATAAAAGAGATGGATCTTTTTTGGGTTTATTGTTACTCAAAAATATCTTTTTATTGGGCTGTTAGATACTCAAAAATGGTAACAAGAAAATGAGCTTTTTAGGTGTTTTAGGTTGTTCGGGAATTAGCTACTGTTTGGGGTGGTTTAGCTCTCGAAAAATTAGCAAAATAAGGGGTTTTTGGGTCTCTTTTGGTCACTAAAAAGCAGAGGTATACTTGGTTGTTGGGTTCTCAAATTTCACTGCAAAACAGGTGGTTTTTGGATCACATTTGGTCACTTGAAAACAGCTTTGTATAGGGCTGATGTGTTCTTGAATTTTTGACAGCAAACATGAGGTTTTTGACAGCAAAATAGGTGTTTTTTGGGCTGCTGCTATAAACCACTAGAAAAACAACTCTTTATTGAGTTGTTTTGGGTCTCAAAAATTCAGCAAGAACACATGAATAAATGAAATAAGGGTATCAAAGTTGGGGATGACTTAGGAAAAATCTTCAAAAAATAGACAAAACTTGCAAATTTGGGATTTTGGGTTAAGTACATAGACCAGTCTTGTAATTTACTCTAAGTTAAACAATCTAGGACATAAAAATTTGGGAAGGAACTTACAACCAGATAACTTTTCAGTTACTTTGCTAACAATATATACAGTTTTCTGTTGATGAACTTTAGATAACTGACATAAATCATCAGCCACAACTATGCGCCTTTTTCTTCTAGGCTCCACTGGGTTCAATCTAAGAACATGCCCAACACGATGCAAAACAGAAGGATCGCGAGCAAAAATTCCTAAAAGACTTTCATCATCAAATACATGAAATATAAAGAAACAGCAACAAAGTTGAAGACTTCTACTGACATGTAGTTTCATCATCAAATACATGAAATATAAAGAAATAGCAACAAAGTTGAAGACTTCTCCGGTTGTCTTGAAATCATAATCCATAACTCACTTGCGTATAAAAACAATTCAAAAATACATAGAAATAGAAATTAATAGAAGAATATATAGAAACTAACACATCGCTGACGGCAAAAGTCAGGCCGGAGAGAGGTTGTTTTGCAGCGGGAGGAGGCGGCTGAGGAAACGGAAGCAGCTCGAAACGCTCTATAAAATCCCCATAATCTTCTCTTATCACATATCTTCCTCCTTGGATCGACACCACAACTGCTGCTCTTTTCTCCATATCACAATCTCCTCTTTATTTCTCTGCTGTTTCAAATACACGCCACAGGATTTAGGGCTTGGATTTTTTAGGGAGGATTGAGTTGAAAAGTACAGAGTAACCACGATACCTAGAGAAACAAAATCGAGAAGAAGGAAGATAGAAGGAAGGTGTTTGGGGCGGATGATGGTGGCGACGGCTTTGTATCATCGGCTAGGGATCTGTGGAGATTGAGATATAAACATGGAGAAATTAGGTTAAAAGTCAATACCAATACCATGATTATAGGGATTATTTTTGGAAGTTACTAATCAAATTACTAAATTACCCTTCTTTATTTATTTAATTATTTAATTTTTTATTTAATTTTGATTGGCCCACATTTATGCATATGATAACACAATACTTAGTTTAAACAAATGAACCTAACTCTATGGATGGGCTGACTTGAGGCTCGGGATGGTGTGGGATAACAGCCTTAAACTGAGCTTCGTTTGATAGTACTTTCGGAATAGGCTTTTGGCTAGATTTAGGGCAGAAGCCTGAAAGTCCTCTGATTCTTACTTTACTACTTCCTTTGATGGCATCGTTCCTTAGTCTGATTCATGGCATTCCTCATTCTTGGATTTTAGCTTCGATGCAAGGGAAAAGAGCAAGGAAAAGCCCTATATCCGGAACTCCGAGAGCTAGACCGGCTACAGGCTAAGCAGCACCGGCTGAGGTATTTGAGTTAGGGTCTCGTGGCCCCAAGCCGGATAAGAGCAGCAATTCTTACATTTCTCTCAGAAGCTACTTTCCTACTTCCTTTCCTATTTGCAATTAATATGTTTCTTCAATCTTTACTTTAAAATTTTATTTTAAAAAATATTTATTATTTAAATTTTAATATTTTATTTTATTTAATCAATCAAAGGGTTCTACACCCAACCTTAGTTACCCAACAACCACATATTCACTTTTCCATATATATATATCTATATATATATAATATTATATATATATATATAATATATATATATATATATATATGAGTCAAGATCAAATAAGAAGGAAATTTTTGGTAGGAAGGTAAGAAGTTTTTTTTCTACATATTTTTTTTTCGCGAACAAACAAAATGAATCATTAGATGATTCATTTGTAAAATGATTCACAAGAAACAATTCTCAAAAAAACATCTCGATGATCATTTATACAATGATTTTGTTGTTATTCACTAAAATTGTCATAAAAGTGAATTTTTTTTCTTAATTTACTAAAAATGAATCATAAAAATGTTTTTTTGGGAATTTTTTCTTGTGAATCATCTTACAAATGAATCATCTAGTGATTCATTTATTTTGTTCGTCAAAAAAATAGATAGAAAAAAAATTTCTTACCTTCCTACCAAAAATTTCCTTCTTACCGGATCTATATCCATATATATATATATATATATATATATATATAATATATATATATAATATTCATATATATATATATAATTATATATATATATATATATATGGGTTCAATTGAGAATAAAAAAGATTAAGATTGGGGGAACTATTCTCAGCCAATCATTTATTTAATATGTAAACCTTAAAATCCGTGCGTATCATTTTTTTTTATTAAGGGTATATTTGTAAATTAGCCATTTTTTTATTTACTTCTTTGTTCTTCGTCTTCAATTTCCGATTTCATGAGATCTTTATCTCGTTTGAATCGGATATAGAGGAATTCATTATCAAGATTATTTTTTTTCTTTTTATATAATGCGTTAGCAATTACACGTATTTTTGTATTTATCTTCAAGTTTCGCATTTGTATTGCACTTTTCTTCTTTGTATTTAGTTTCCGATTTCATCAGATCTTTATATCGTCTGAATCGGATATATCGGAATTCATTATCAAGATTCTTTCTTTATATAATTCATTGAGAATTACACGTATTCTTTCCATTTATCGTGAAGTTTCGCATTTGTATTGCAGTTGTTTCATCAGATTTTTGTTCTGTAGTTTGAAATCTCTATTTCAATTTTATCCTCTGGTCGGAGCTGATTTAATTTTCAATCAGATCGTTATTGCAATTGCATCATCTGATTGGAGCTGATTCAATTTTCTTTTAGATCATTTGTACGCTCTGAGGTGAGATATATTCGAAATTAATCAGGTTTTCATATTTACGACTTTTTTTTTGTGTTTTTTTGTTATAGTTTTGTTGTCGTTCAGTTTCTATTTTATTTTATCATGATTTTCATCGATACTAAGATTGTTTTTGTTGTTTTGTACATATCAATTGGTTTATTATGTCAAATTCGAATGTTATTCATGGTGATTTGTATTTTTCGATGTGTGAGAGTGAAGAAGAAGATGTTGAGAACTTATTTTTTGAAGGTATCATTTATTGAATTATTATGTTGTTTTTTATTTTGTTGATGATCATGTATCTACATATGAATCTGTAAATCTGAATAAATTATTGTCTTATTCATATATGAATAAATGTGTGATACTTGTAATTTCGAATTTATTATTATTTTCGTTTGATTCATATATGAATAAGTTATGTTTTATTTTATATTTTTTGAATCATATGAATTTTATGTATTCATATATGAATGTTTTATTAATCCATTAATAAACATTGCTTTTTTGTTTTATTCATATGAATTTCATGTATTCATATATGATTGTTTTATTCATATATGATTGTTTTATTCATGCATCAGTAGATTGATTTAGATTTATAATTTTTTTATCAGGTGAATCTTCGAGTTCAGTAGATGATGTGCAATATTGTAGTAATGTAATTGGAGAACATGTCTATAAGCCAGATGTACCTGTTCAAATTATTCCATTTAAAGGTTTAATCTTCAAATCATTAGATTTGGCCATCAAAATGTATTTTGAGTATGCTGAAATTGGTGGTTTTGATGAGAACTGAGCACACAGTCAAGGTTTGATAACATGATTATAAAGAAGAAACATGTTATATGTAATCGTGGTGGCAAACAGAAAAAGAAATCTTGTGACACATTTGTTACAAGTGGTGTTAGGAGGAAACGAAATTCAAATTCAAGAGTTACTGGTCGTCAAGAAAAGATTATATTTGAATTTGTGTATGGAACTCCAGATTATAAAGTTTTTCAGTTTGATGAACTTCACAACCATCCACTTAAGAAGAGAAGTGATTTAAAAAAAAGCGAGACAAATGTCATATTCAGAAAAAGAGTTTATAGTGCGTGCTTCCACATCAATAATAGGCCCAACTATGGCTCATAAGTTGAGGGCAAGTCTGAGAGGTGGGTATGAGTTTGTTAAGCCCAAAGGAGTTGACTACAAAAATTTAAGGAGAGATATCAACAGGGTTATAGGTCATAAAGATGCCTAAATGATAGTAAACACAATGAATGACCGTCGAGCTCACTAACCAAATTACTCATTTGAGTTTAATTGTCAAGATGATGTTTTGGACTCTATGTTTTGGGCTAATGAAACGGAGAAGGCATATTATGGTGAATTTGGTGATGTTATCTCATTTGATGCAACTATCCGAACAATTATTTTATCTACTTTTTTATAACTTATTTATATATGAATATTTTAACTTTATGTTTAATGTTCAGTTTTTAATATTGAAATATTTTAATAATATACTGTAATTGTATTCATACATGAATTTTTTTATATTCACTTATGAAATACCTCAAAAATTGACTTTAATGAACACATTTTTTGTGTTATAGGTATCAAATGGTTTTTGTTCCATTTACTGCTATTGACCATCATAAAAAACCAGTTACTGTTGGAGCGGGGTTGCTAAGCAATAAAAGCATTGAGTCCTACTCTTGGTTGCTTAAAGCGTTTCTTAAAACTCATGGGAAAGAACCAACACTTGTTTTAATCGATCAAGATGCTGCAATAAAACAAGCTATTGAGAATGTGTTTTCTAATTCAAAACACCGATTATTGATGTGGCATATAATGAAGAAGTTGAAAAACAAGGTATTATTTTAATATATTTGAAATATGTTACATAGTATTAGTTATTCATAGATGAATATAGTAATTTTTTCAAATTTTAGTATATTCATTTATGAGTATTTATTATTATTTTACTTATTAATATTTATTCATAAATGAATAAATATAGAAGTTTATTTTATTTTTGTTTTAATACAGATATCAGATGATTTATTTACAAACACAGACTTTAGAAAAAGATTCCCGAAGCTTGTTTGGGACATGAATATGAACACATACTTTCATTTTTTTTCCTTAAAGCTATGAAATATTGGAAGAGAATGAATGGTTCAAATAAAATGGTAATTTGAATTTCAAAACTATAGTAATTGTTATGTACTGGTACCAATCTTAAAAACAATATGTTAAGAGTTGGTTAGGGGAGGAGGAGTGTTACACTTGAGGTATATTTTGATCACTTATATTTTCTTATGAAAATATTAATATTTTTATTTATTTTACTTTTTCTTTACGATAAAAAATGAATAGGATAAAAGAAAATTGACAAATGTAATAAGTTAATTTATTTTTGTTACTATAAAAATATTTAAAATTGGGTATATCCATATAAGTTTTGGTAGAACATAAAGAACACATTTTTATAACACATATAATTATTGGTTTTCAACAATAAAGTCATATCATATTAAAAATCATTTGTTCTAATTCATCATTATCACCAACAATTTGGAATAATAATTGTAAACTCTTTTCATCAAAATCAATTATAAAAAACTCCATCGATGTTATTTACAAAATAAGCGATAGAAACTAACATAATATATACATACCATAAAATACATGTTGAATAATGTTCTCTTATACATAAAATATATTTTCTTAACATAAAAAAGAGAGAGACAACATAAAGATACATACATGTTAACAAAGTTAATTGCTCTAACTTATAAATAGCTTGATGATTGATTTACCAAAAGTTCATGAGAAGTATTTATCAATCCTACTTCATCATCCTGTGATTATAGAAAGATGCATAACACATAAACTTAAAAAATGAT